CCTCCATAGCTTATAGCTGTGAAAACATGAGAATTTAATCAATATCAAATTTTTTTGGAAACAAAATTTCATAGATAAAATAGTGAAAGAACACAAACAGTTTTTTTTTGTTTTTGTGTGGAACCGAGAACATTACAAAGTAGATGTTCTCGGTAAACAAAATCATGTTGATTTTGTTTACCACATTTTGATTCCACGCATTAAGAATGGATTTCTTCAACTCATGAAGTTTTTTGGAAGATTAGTATGAGCATTTTTGAACACTTCAACGGTGTGGAGAGTGATTTCTCTGTGCAGAAATGGGAAAAGATATTAAGAGATTAAAAATAACACCCATCTCTCTCGAAGGTGTATTACATTGCCATCAAATTTGGCAAAAAATATGAGACATTTCTGTCAAGTTTCGTCAAATTTAGCCCAAAACATAAGAGATTTCTGTCAAGTTCCATATACTCCGTATTTTGATTTGAAAATTATGAGATACGGAACATACGGAATCCGCACTATATAGAGAGGACTGCTTATCCTGGATAATTAACCAGACATTTTCAAACTGGAAAGCATGCGACCCAAGATTTCTGTCCCGGAATTACTAATGATCGGTGGTTTATAACGTCCCAAGTGCGAAGTGGTTCCCCACTGGCGAGTCATCTTCACTGCGAGACGGTGATCTCTGCCTGGTCGAGTTGCTCACAATTTATTAAGATGTGACAAGCATTCATAATCATGAAGTCGACACTTTACTGATGCTTATCGGAGTCGTCTGTATACTGGAAAGGGCCTGTATAAATATAGTTTTATACATGGATGCCAATAAAATTAAAAAAATAGTAGAATTTTCTATGATGTTGTATAATGACTAAAATTATCGGAAAAATATGAACTCAGTTCTGATAACACGTGATGAGATGTATGTATTAAATGAACTTGTACGATATCCAAAATACATAACTTATTTCATAATAAGTAGGATATATCTTGTAGCAAAAGCTTCTAATGAATCAATGTTAAGGCGGAGGCGAGCTGATGCTAGCGCAAGGTTCATGTACATTTGACTCTGGAGGCGGAGTAGGAGGAGGAAGGGAGGAACAGGAGCTGCGTCTGTTTATTTTAAGGTACGAGAGGAAATAGAACGAAACAGAAGGCCGTCCATGGATCCATGACGTCCCAGGTACGGGACTGTACCGAGATTGGGATCATGCGCGAGCAGACGATGGCGCCACCGAGGGCTCCCGCAGCGCTCTTGTCCGCCGCGCACGTCGCACGTCCGGCCGGCATGGCATGGGTTTCCGACGAGTCTCATCGCCGACGCCTCACGCCGCTCCTTCCTCTGTCCCTCCCTCGACTGCCGCCGGCGCCAAACCCGGACGGCCGAATTCTCCGGTCACCTCGTGCACTCCCTCCGAGGCTCGTCCCTCGGTTCGGCCCGCTGCGGGCTCTCCCTGTCCTGGACGTAAGTCAGCGCCGGGGACTTGCGCGGAAGAAGCCACCGGTGGGGCCCATATACGCTCCTTTGAGTTCCTCGTTAGAGTATCTCCGTCCTCATACCATGAAATTAAAATAAATACGGATACACCTACAAAATAAATTCATGTGAATTGATTTAACGAACTATATTCTTCTATGTACAAGAATATCCAGCCGTATTGTGGTTGTAAGGCCATGCAGCCTGAAATTTTTTATGGCCTTGTGAAAGTGATATTCCTTAAACAAACAAGAAGAAAGAAAAATATCACGAGTGTGTAGAGACCCAATGAAAGCTGATACAGAAAATGTAGTATTTAAAGATGAAAAAGAGAAAAAGGAAGAATTTTTTTTACTAGAGGAAAAATAAATAAATGATTGACTAGTGGGAAGGGGTCCTTGGAAGCCACCGGTTCGTGTCTTGGATATTCCAAAGTGTAACCATCTGACGTTTGCTAGGCTTCAGTACAAGGCTATAACGATGAGATAAAGTATACATCTTCTCCTTTTTTGGAAAGTGAGAGTTTTATAGCAAAATGATGAGCATAATTCTCAAGAATGAGATTTACCTAAATTCTAAATGTCTGAGAATGATTAATCTATCCCGTAGAGACTCTATAGGAGTAACAATTGCGGGTTTGTCCGTTTGGTATATCACATCACAACTACTCTTATTGTTCATGCTTTAATTCTTTAAGCATGTTAGGAACGATAACATTGGAATTGCTTGATAACATTAGGTTGATCACAAGATCTACATGTTGTATTAGAACAAACAAATTCTCATCATTTGAATTTATTGCTGTATTTACTGATGGATGGGTGACTCACTGAAGGTGTATTCTACCCATTCCATGATGAACTTTTTGATGAAATCATAAATCTACAAGCAATAATTAAGGTTTTACTTCTAAGATTTTTGTTGATAAGAAGCCTTATGTTAGATAATTCATTGCTAATCTTGCAGTTTATGGAATATTAGTCAACCACTCATAAAGTCTAAAATTCAGTTAAAATAATAACTTTTGCACGATGTCATTGTCTAAGTTAGAAAGCTTTCTCGCACCAAGTAGGTTCACCTTGAGGTGTTGCAAGTGATACTTCCGCATTAGGTACTGTCTAAATGAAGTCCTAAGAGAGAATCATGTCAAGAAGGGTTCATAAATTCGATACAATAATATTCAACGGTGTGATTATCGGGAAATGTAAATTATGTCAATTGTATTCTTGACTTGTCAAAAGCAAGAGAAACACATTGTTGAAAAGCCCAAGCATGAGCTCGGACCATCAAGAATTTTAGAATACTAATGGCTTTTCATGTTGATGGTGTACTTGCATTATCTATGAAATTTAAATATTCAAACCATCACCTTATTGCTCGCCTAACCTGTTATCTTATCAGGGCAGGAACATTTTGATGGTTTATAGCGAGGGCAAGGTATAACTAAGCTATTGATGAGATATAATAGTTTGACATTATCAGCGAGGGTTTGAAACATAAAAGAGGAGTAAAAGAAAAAGAGAGATTCTTTTGTTTATATGTCGTCTGCAGTTGGGAAAAAATATCCCAGTAAGTTGATTAATTTTGACTGTTATGGAGAATTTGTTATAAACAACCTAAAATGAAGTGTGAGAGTTACTCTTTAGGAAAAAGACGTTTTTAGGCTTTTAATCGAAGCTTTTCAAGATGGCTTTGCTCTTACACTAGTTCCACGATAGGTTTGGAAACCGTACTTGTTATGGTGATCAAACCTTTGAAGAAGAACCAAAAGTAAATTGATTTGTCATGCTAATGTTGAGAGCAGAATTCATGGATGAGAGATATGAGTTCTATTTTGTAGATTCGACGATAAGTATTTTGAATATTAGGTTGATAGTATTGTCTTATGAGAATATAAGGTGAATATATAGGTTCATCGGGAGATACTACGATCTAACATCAAATTCACTAGTTGAATTGCAAGGTTTTATGCGTTCTAAATATTGTAAGAAATGACTGTAAATTGTAATGTAAATGGATTGTTTGTATTACATGCGCATGTGGAGGTGTGTGATGGAATGAGCTTTTATGAGCTGAAAAAATCTACGTAGTTATGAGTTTCAGAGAATAGCTTTGTTAAATCAATGTGTCAAAGAGGATGATGAAGGCTTTTCACGTAGTAAATGATTTTCAAATTTCTTACTTAAATGATAAATTATTATCTGAATTAGTAGAGTGTTTATTTTCCAAGTATTATTGCAGTTACATCAGACGCGTTATATGAACTAAAAGATGAAGTTAAATGTGTTTTCTGGTTGTTTTGGATACCTTTTAGGTCTACATGTGAGAGAGTACCTATGTTTAACTAAAGAAGAAATAACTGAATGTTTTTTTGTTTGATTTTTATAAGATTCTTGCTATCCACTTGGCCCCCCTCTTCAGTATTATAAGTTGACATTTTACTAGGCTTTGAGGATGATGAAGACCAAAGGGGGACGATAGGAGACCATTGAGTACGACCTAAAGGGTTATCTGAAAGGGAGAATATTTGCCTATTTTCTTTTAAAAAGCGTCGAAACATTTCACAATAGCAAATACAACAATTCAATCGCTATAGATGAAGTCCAATTATTCGTTTGAAATATTCCGAGAGTATTGATGTGTAACTTGATTGAAAAGGTGTCTCGAGTGCTCCAATCTCGTGATTCAGCTAACAAATACCTCCAGCCAAATAAATCTCTAATATTTACATATTAAAGATTCATATATTCAGTATTTTAGTATGAAAATATTCATGATTTTAAGTTCAGGCGTCAAGAAATTATGAATGGATCGTATGGGATCCCGTCGTGTGTATGGGGCGTACGCGTGTACGAGCTAGTCCTCACACGGGGCTTATAATAATTACACGGATCAACTCTTGCACCGCGGGAGAACTGCGGTCGCTCCCGTCGGGAGCTGGCGGGCGGGCGTGGGCAAGCGCGGATGGGGGTAGCGGAAGAGCAAGCACCAGAGAGAGTGGGGAGGGATTCGAAGGGGCAGATTCAGAGGGAGGTGGGGGGGCGGGGGTGCGACCTCTCCCTCTCCCTCTGCCCCTCGCTCTCGCTGCCGCTACCGCTGCCCCGCTCCCTCCCTCTCTCTCTCGCGGTCTCAGCGTCCGCGTGAGCGCGTGCCCCTGCGTTAGGCCCCGGACGACCGCGGGCCCGCCCGGGGACGAGCCATGTGCTGGAACAACGTTTTGCCGCCGTGCATGACGACGACGACGACGACGACATGCGCGGGCGTCGCTGCTGCTGGTGCGCCGATGCGGGCAGCCCCAGCCCCCAGCCTCAGCCCCCCACAGCAGCAGCAGCAGCAGCTCCAGCAGCTGCTGCTGTGGGGGCAGAAGGCGAGATGGCCTTACGGGGAGGTGGGAAGGAAGAAGAGGGGCTGGGGCTGGGGCTGGATGGTGCTTATGACGATGATGGTGCTAGCGCTTAAGGCGAAGAAAATATGAAGAGAGGACGGAGACGGACGGGAGGGGATAATATATAGGGAATTCTGAGCGGAGAGAAGGGGGGAGATAGGCGCTGATGGCGGGAAGCAAGGCGACTGTTCGCAGCGTGGGACATAGGCCCGAAGATTGAGCGCTGGGGCTGGGGCTGGGGCTGGGGCAGCAGCAGCAGCAGTGCCCCCGGGGGCCCGCGCGATGCCCACGCTGTGCACCAGCTTATTTCTTCATACACGCGAGTCGAAGGCCTCGGCGCGGCTTTGGTTTGCTTCTCCCATCTTCCGCACGCCGCTTCGCTTTGCACTACTTCAACCTCGCGTTCCGTCTGCACTTCAAGATCTGCTCTGCTGCTGCTGCTGCTGCTGCACGAGGTGCGTATCTGAATCCCAATTCCATCTCATTCATTCATTCATCGCAGGTCTGCCATGTAAGCTAGAATTGCCACTCCACTCCCGCTCGTCCTCGGCGACGAGGTAACACGCAATTTCCCGGCGTTCTTCGTCGTTGCACTTCGTCCTTGAGCCTCCGTGGCCGCTGAGGAGATCGCCTCCGGAGCGCGAGATGTACGTGAGATTGCTCGGTGCTGTCTGTGGTTTTTGTTTTTTTGCTTCGTGAGGTCAATCGACAGTTGGTCGTGGTCTTGGTCGTGGACGAGATGTAGATCGGGATCGTCGAAGCGTCGGTCGGGCTGCCGCTGATTTCTTGTTTTGGGCTCGAGTCAACGAGATGCATGGCCTCGCGTGTTTTCAGATTGTCAGAAGTGCCACGTTCCCGACCTTACATTGCCTTCGAATGCGACTACTGCTCGCTGAGCATTCCAATTCCGTCTATAATGCACCGAATTTCTCGTTACTTCGGGAGGGATCAAATCAGATCTCGAGAACAAGGCCGTCCTGGACGTGGCATAATTCGCCCGCCATGCAATTGTAGGCCTGCTTCTGATGGGTCCAGGAGTCGGCACAGCAACAGAAGTACGAGGTTTGGAGTGCCGTAGTTATATAATTTGAAAGCGAGTCCAGTCTCCTCTTGCAGTCATTAGCCAATTCGTGAATCCGTGACAGAATCTAACCGACCTGGAGCTTGAACTGGACGCCAAGTGAGGAATGATAGTGTGCATTCTCTTCGATGAGCCTGTGGAGCGCAGGAGTGAGCTGCGCAACATTCGTCGTTGACCGAGTGGATGGTGCCCATCTCGCTGCTATGCTCGCGCTTGCTGTAGACTCTGGCGCTGGATCTTACCTGAAAGCACGGGGTGTGTGCTGAAGACAGATAAACCTGCACTTTTGCTTTAGCTACACTCGCATCCCTTGATTAGGATGAGTGCGGATGTTTAGAGCTCTGAGCCGCAGCCTCGTACGAGGTCTCAAAGGCAAACTGGAGAGACACTGCGAGTGTGGATTGCTGCACCCGAACCTTCTTCTCAGGGTTGATCGAGGTCTTCATGTCGCTAGCACACATGGATTAGAAGAACAGGAGAAGAGACGTCCAGGCAGGCCGTCAGAAGGAGATTCCCCATGTGATGACTTCTTACAATCCCGCCTTGTCGACGATTTGGAACCGGAATTGAACCCTTTGATCTGACTAGAACTATGGAACTGCTCTTTGAATCAGCATTCAGTTTTAAGTGGAGGGAACGCAGATGTTCTTTCTGATAATGCAGGGGAGCGAGGGGCTATGGTGAAAATTAATGGAGGATGTGAGTCTGGAAAATTCAGAGGGTCCAATTGCAGTTCGTTTGCTGCAAGTGCAGTGAGAGTGGTTATCTCTCTCGAAGCCTTCGGGGACTAAAACATGCAGGCCTCCCCTTGGACTCCCCGAGATCTTGTAGCGCGTCAGCGCAGATGCAGGAATAGCCGAATCTGGTGAATGCATGGCGCAGCTCATTACTCTGGTGAAGGGCAATGATTGTCGACGAGAGTGAGTTCACGCATTCTTGCCTCGACTGCTGCTCCGCGCTCGTTTTCTCTGCAGGCTGATTGCATTTCAGCTTGCAGGAGAACTGGGCACTGGAGAGTCGTAGACATATAGACCGGAAGGGAATCACTCTTACAAATAAAGGCAGAATCCTCAGTCTCTCTCTTTCCTCGTGCTCCGGGCAGGACTGTCGTATCTGGCCTATCTGTAGGCATTAGGCCCACGAAGAGTGACATGAGATAAACTCCAACAAGAGTAGGCTTGTGTGGAAAGTGAAATGGAGGAGCCAAACGATGTCTCAGACAGACCTGAAGTATATTTCTCTGACGCTTTCTGGGCATGCTCTACTTTCTTAGCAGTCAGTCTCTACTTTCTCAGCTTGGTTGGCAACTATCGACACTCAACCTGGAAATGTTTTCGATTGAGCCTTCTGCACTTGAGGTTGGGAAAGTTTAGTCGGAGGTCGTTTTGGTCCACATGACTGAACTGCATTAGTTGTAAGTTGACGGTAATGATTGTTTCTGGCGTATGATGTGCTGATAACTTGTGTACCTCACTCACAGCTGGTCTGTCATATGACTGAACCAGGGTGTGAATCAAATGTCGTAGATTTGTGCAATCAGTGTTGGCATGTTTCGCATGTCTAGGTGAATTTTAGAGTCAGGGCACTTTTACATGGCTCCGTGGAGATCCTGGTCATTTTGATGTTTTACAAACTTCTCCATCTACGAAATAGTTTGCGTTGTCTGTGGTACCCAAAAGTATTTCAGAAAGCACATCGAGTCCCGCAGCAGAGGTTGGTGGGATCCACTCCGGACTCAACTCACTCAGTGTTAAGTCCTTGTGGAGTGAATAAGCTTTGAAATGATATGCCTCGAAATTCAGACCTCGCAAATTCATTGCAAAACTTTCGGAGTTTGAACGAGCGAATCGATCTACGTCGAAGGATGTTGTCTGGCGCAAGAAGGTTTCGACAGGCAGACGAGTCCCACTGCCTGCGTTCATCTCTCGCTGTGTCATACGCCAGAACATCGATTCTCACTCCGCTGTGGTCTGTTTTCCATGCAGCTGATGTATGCCCACCACAGGGGGAGGTTGCTTGCAGTTGATGCACGGCTGACCGAATCCGATTGCAGTCATTCTGGAGAGACTGCAGCAGAAGACGAACGAGGTTACTGGCATATCTTCTGCTATTGGAACGGCAATGCTCGGAGTGCATCAGCAACTGATTCAGGACAGAATTTGATGTTCCTCGAGCAATGATTCGATAAACGTCGAGTCTTCCCGAGGAGAGATTCATCCATCTCTGATGCATTATCTGGAAATTTGTGTGGTCATGGATAAGGGCTAGATCGAACAATGACTCAAGCAAACATGAAGGGCAGCACAGATACTCGTAATCTTCTTCAGGGCTGTGATTGCTCTCAACACGAGAAAGGTGACAGCGGAGGAGCTCAAGTTCATACATCCAAAAGCTGTAGCCGATACAGCTCACCGCCAAATGCTGTTGCTGAGACGCAGCCGAAGAAAGCATCGGACAAGAAAGGCGTCAGCGAAATGCAGAGCCGTGCACCGTCACGGAATGGAAGAGGCTCGACGCCCAGTCCAATTCAGGGGCACGGGATCCGCACTCCGACGAGGAATGGCAGAGGAACGACTCCGAGTCCGATCCAGATCAGAAGCGCAACGCATTCGCCCGCGAGTCCCGATGAGTTCGTGGTGAGGAAAACTCCCGGCGCCCACATCCACCTGCGCAGCGCTCGACCTCCAGGATGCGATGGCGAGTCCACCCAACCCACCGTGAACGAAGTTCACAACAGGATTGCTCGACGCCGAGGCTTCGATGACCACGCGCACGTCTCCCGCGAGACCGAGAACATTCGCCCGCGCAGCGGCAACACCCCCGAGTCCGAGAGGCCGCGCAGCTCTCCTCCCTGTAACTGCGGATTGCGGAAATGCAAGCACGAGCTGTCGCGCGATCATGGCAAGGACTTCGCCTTCATGGACGGATTCGAGACCAAAGAGCAACCGGTAATTCTTCTCTCACAAAATTCTCCATCGCTTCTCTTTTCGTGGCCTCTGCATCAGTATCTGCATCTGCACACGACTCGAAATCCGTGCTCGAGAAAGCCGACCGCCATTCCTCATGCATCCATCTGCGCAGAGCATCTATCCTCTACCCATTCGTCGATCTGTAAAGTTCCAAGCTTTTGTTTTGTTTTGTTTTGTTTTGCTTATTGTGAATCACTAGTCGACCTTCTCTGTACGAGCGCTAGTCTGTCTGCAAGAGGAAGCTACTAGCTTTGGAACCGGAGATGGAATGGCAATTCAGGAGCTTGGAATCAAGCTGCTGAGTTGCCATTCCATTCATGCTGCATCTTTATTCGGTTATGCGCACGATTTGTCGTGCCGTGCTCCACCCGAGGCCGCGACTGCTGCTATTCCTCGACACGACAATCATTGTCATCGTGCAGAATCAGAATCTGTAGGTCCAGCCAGGGCGTTGCAGCAGCAGTGAACAACTTTCTTCGTCAGCGAGAGCTTCTTTTTATCCGCTCGCAGAGTAATAATAAACGTGACAAATTCAGTACCACGCTACGAGGTCGAGAAAGCTTATGGATGTATATATCCAGACTAGATCACCTTCACCACATGCGCTCTCTCGATGGATCGGTCGATGGGTCAGGTCAGATCAGGTCAGCCCAGCCTGGCTGCCGCTAGGCCGGTGGTGGAAAGATGGAGATCATCATGTTCCGGGAATGGCCACTGCACTTTCCTCTAAATGAGAATCACCACCTCTCGGATCACACGTCACGAAAGCCGAATGCATCGTCGAGCTTGCATCCTAAGTCGGTCAATCTCGTGCGCCTGAATCTCGACTCCAGTAGGCCCAGATGAAAAAGATCGTGCTGACGGAAGGATCGCCACACCAGATCGAAGCCTCGAGCTGGGATGATGGAGGGAAACTGGAAGGGATCTGTTCTGAGCTGAGCTGAGCGGATTGGAATTGATTGTAATGGATTGAAATTGTGTGTGTGGGTGGAGCAGTGGAAGCCGGGGAAGAAGGTGGTGGATCATTTCAGCGACCAGCCGCGAAGCGAGTACCGGTGGAAGTCGTCGAGGAGGTCGATACCGGGGGCGGATCGGATGCAAAGCCGAACCCCCGAGTGGCGGTCGGACGAGCCCCCGATCTCGCGCAAGGGGACGGGGGGGCGCGACGGGGGCTCGGCGCAGGTGCAGAGAGAGTACGACCCGTTCGGCAACCCCTTGAACAACCCCGAGTGGGAGTGGCACCCGGGCAAAGGGCGCGGCAACGGGCCCATGCCGGGCGAGTGGCTGCCCCCGTTCCGAGCCTACTCGGCTCGCGCCGAGGCGGAGCCCCCGCCCTTTCTGCGCGGCAAGGGCTCGGGCCGGCGGCACTCGGACGAGTGGCTGCCCCCGTTCCGGGTGGTTGACAGGCCCGCGAGCTGGCACCGATCCAAGGGCGCCGGCTCGGGCCCTCCCCCCGACCAGTGGCTGCCCCCCTGGGGGCACGAGTCCCCCGCCGATCAGGAGCGCGGCGACAGCGCCGCGAGCGTCAGGTCAGGCCGTAAACACTTCCCCGTCTGCTGCCCCAACCTCTGAGTCGCTGCCCCTGCCCCCGCCGTCGCGTGCGGGCGTTTTGCTGCCGTTTAGAGGCCCCCTCGGGCTTAGAGCTGTTCTTCTGTCTGCGCAGCCTCGACTCCGATCTCGACTCGCTGCTCGGAATAAGGCGTCCTCTAGACCGGCCCGATTGTAGCCGTCGTGGGTGCGAGATGTTGTGTCTGATCTCTGATCTCTGATCTCCGATCTGCAAAGAGTGTGCCAGCAGGTGCCCCCCAAAGGTTACCTAACTTCACAGAAAATCATAGTAAGCTAGATTTGTTGTAATTGAGATTGTTGCCAATTTGTCACCCGGTCGAGAAGGCGAGCCATGTCGTCGTCGTTCGCTCATCGTCTCAGAGGATGATGAGAATTGCATTGCCCTCGGTAGCGAGAGAATTATATAGAATATCGTCGGATGATGGACTTCTGAGTCTCCTGGGTTCTGTTAGCAGCTGCTGCGCGGAGCCTCGGGGCCCAGACTCGAGCAGGACTCGGAGGAGCGAGCCGCCCGAAGTCTTCTGAAGAGTTTGAATGGTGTTGTTTCTCACTTTGTGTGGGGCGCGCCGCGAGGTCGAGATCTCCCCCCTCGATCTCGACCCGGTGCACGCGAGGAGCACGATTTGACGAACCACGCAAGCATCAGCGTGCATGAGTAGTTGTCGCGCAGATCAATGTGCTAATCGAGAATGCGATGTTCTTGTGCTCTTTACAAACGATACGGGTAATGAAGGTCTCAAAGAGCTGGATGGTGTTTGAAGCTTGGACGAGCCGAGCCGAGCTCCGTGGAAATGTCCAGGATCACTGTGCTCCCCGCGCCGCACCGAGTGGCTGTGCCTTGTTTAGTTCTTTGGTTTTTATTGGATGACAGACCCGAACTGCAGCTCCCTCCTCGACGATCCGTCTGCCGCAGTAGTATGTATTATTGGTCACATTTTAGGACGAGCTCGACCTCTAGAGCTGGAGAACGGAGGGCCATCGTTCGCCGGGTCCGGATCGAAGGCTCCGTCGATGGCGCACTGGCTGCGAAAGAGGTTGTCCGCAGCTTTTCGAATTCGTAGTCTTTTGCAGTGCGGCCGAGCATGTTCCTCATCCAGAGCAGCATCTCAGAGTCGGGCGGTGGGTGTTTGGCAGAGAGAAAGATGGCCCCATGCGGCAGAGGAGGCAGCTATGTTGGATCACCCTGGAATCTCATGCGTTATTGCTTAAAGTTGGCAATAAATTGCACTTCTTTGCGTTCCCTCTCGTGTAATTCCGCCCTCGGACCTCATCTCCCACCTCCATGAATCTCCCAATGTGCATGATTATGATGATGATGATGATGTTGTTGTTGTCGATGTCGATGATGATTGTTTTGGCAATTTCCTCGAGCCCTCCTCCGCTCCCTCTCGGTCACTCGCCCCTTTCCCCTGCTTCGGCATGTGCGCACGAGCACAGTCTTCTGCTCAGATCACTCGGGCAGTGGCCAGTCGATCTCCACACGAACCTCACGGCGACAGGCCAGGACGAGCTGCGAAATCCCCTCCGACAGATTTCACCTCTTTCACAGTGACGTCGATCTGGACCTGATGCTCTCTCTCCCTAATCATACTGTCAGTGAGTGACTGCCGATCGATGGGCGAGCCGGGGAGCTTCCCAGACCTCTTCCGCCTGAAGGCAAGGCAAGGTAAATGTACGCTGTGCAGAAGATGGGCCAGGCTTCAATTCGAGGTCCATCTCGTCTCTGGTGCTCCTCGAGATTCCAACTCCAACTCTGAGATTCGAAGGCATTCCTTGTTCCTGTCGTATGAGCTGTGTTCTGACTCACCGACCGACCGACGACGCACTTACTGACTCGGGATTTTGGCTGTTGCTTGGTTCGTGGAGAAGGCTGTGATGGGGTATGGGAGAGACAGGAGGAAGAGATGGAGCCAAGTGAGCCAAGGAGTGAGTGCCATCGTGTGTCAGCGTGGTGACTCTTCCCAAACCACGGTATCCAGATCTCAATTCTCTAACTCGAATGGTCGAAACTTCCTCACCTACAGAAATTAGGCCTGCATTAGGAGGTGACTGTACCATCATCTCCCGTGAGAAATTTCTCCTGGCATGCATGCACAGCAGAAGTTGTTTATGTCAGGTCACTTCTGTGATATGATAGCTCGTTGGAAATTCCCCGGCAGCAACTACTAAGTGATCGAATTGGAACCTCGCCCCAATGATTGCTCCAACTTTAATCTGCGTCCTGACTGCAAAGGGTTTAGGGTTTATCGCTTGCCTTGAGGCATGATCGAATCCCGAGCGTTACCCTCGGTGAGCTTGGATTGATCCTAGCGCAGGAGAGTTGGAAAATGCCGATGATGTAATCTCGTGGTGGGCTTACGGAGGAGGAAGGGAATAATGGGTCAGCTTTGCACTCCCACCAACGGACCACGGTACTGTGGCACCGAACGGAAGGGAACAGAAGCGATCGTAGATTGTTCGCCAGCCATGGCTGCTGCTGCCATCAGGATGCAACGGAATGTTCTTCGATGCTCGCATGGCCGGCCAATCATTTCCCGCACCGCTTGTTGCGCTGTTGTGCGTCGTATGACCTCACTGCTGCAAGCAAGCAATCCGTCGGAAGCTTCAGCTTCCGCTAGACCTCCGAGGCCGGACATGGTGTGCACTCGTTGCGGAATCTCGCCCAAGAGGAACAACATGGACACACTTCCACACACAATCCTCGGTTGTGGAAAGCTGGCGATGCCAGATTGATTGATTGATTCCTTCATGCTGTTCAACGAGACAGACAATGTGCACGCCCTCCATTCTAGGCTCTCGGAGATGAGGTTCTCACAGAGCAGAGGCATTTTCTCAACCTTCCGAGTCATCATCATGCCAGAACACTATTTGGCCTCTCAATCACGAACCTGGCTGGATTCGTAAAGAGCAGCCACGAAGTCCACTCCGTCACGAGTTTTCATGATCTTCTGTTCACCTCTTTCGAGCACGGAGTGGTGCATGAAGTCGGGCGCTCGGTCAGTGAGCCACTCCTGCTTCGTACAGTAACTAACCCCCTGCCTGCGCACAAGAGCACGAGAGAGAATGTCACCCGGCCTCCTCCTCTTCTTTTTCAAAGATCTTCCCTTCTCCAATCCCTGATCGCTGTGAGGTCCACTTTTTGACCAATGCCTCGTCCAATTGCTCTCAACAGTTGCGCTGCAAGATACTCGTTTGACCCCCACACTCCACTTATGGACCAGCAGCAGCTCGACATCCTAATGGCCGTCATGGCTAACGCTAACTTCTTCAATTCTTAAAGGAAAAAAAATCTTATTTCGTAAGGATCGGTGGAGTGTATGTCAGTCCTTTGACTTAGCATAAAGCATGGCTTTCGATTGAATGAATGTCTTCATGAGCGTGAGATTCACGTGGACTTGCGCGGGTCTTACCAAATTCTGTGCGCTCAAAATCCTCCCGTCGTCTCGTCTCGTACCTTGCTTATCGTGTCCTAGCATGGAGTCTAGACCCCAAGTGGCTGGCTCCCTACAACAGCCACAAGAAGAGCACAGAATGTACAAACCATAATCGCTTTTGATGTCGCATCATGTGACTTCCGGAGAACTGCTCTTAATTTAATGGCCTGCTGGATCGTCCCCGCCTCTCGTGAGACTCACAGCCGCCCCAGGCTCACGAAACATCAGCAGCTGCAGCATCTCGCCTTATCTACATATTCGCCGAGGGTGGTCAGTGCTGGGCAGGCCAGTGCGGGGCAGGCCGGGGCATCTGCTTTAAGACGCGAGTATAATGCAAACAATGTAAATATCTGCTTCCGGTGGAGTCCGATCTGGCCCTGTAAGTCAAGCTGGGGCGGATTGAGCCGGGTAGGGCCCGGTCGGGTCACAGCTCAGATCAGGTCGATTGGGGTGATATTTTCTCGATCTAGGTTCTCCATCTGCTGCTGCTGCTGCTGCTCGCATGAGGGTGGTGGTGGTGGTGATCAATGATTAAGACATGAGATTTTTCTTCTAGAATGTAAGAGCTCGACTTTTTCCTGTAAAGTAGATAATACGTAGCGACACTGCTGCAAGTTTCGATGAGTTTCAAATCTCGAGCTCCGGTCAGGACATTCTCTCCCGTGCCCATGCTCGCCACCTCTCTCTTATTTTAGGACAGGGCCTCGTGCTTCTTTTTACTTCGCATGTCAGGAGCACTCGTAGTCATTATCACATGAAGCTGAACGCAGACATGTGTTTGCGAATTGGGAAATTGAGAAAGTTGAATTGGGAAAGTGTATTTAATCCGAAGTTTGGGTAGATGGATGGATGGATCCCCTCGCAATTTACATCGAGACTGAGTTGAGCAAATCGTCTTCTTTCGTTTTGTCGAAGAAGGCTTTTTTCGTTGCACAAGTTGAAGTTTCTCCCTCCCTCCCTCCCTCCATCTCTCTCCTCTCTTGCTGTAAATAGTGCTCGAGAGTGAAAGACTCATGTACCTTCCAACTTGCAAATCCAGCTCCTCCTCTTCTTCTTCTTCCTCTTATTCTCCTCACCACGACATGCGCCGCTCTTTCCTCAAGCAGCGAGACTCTTTTTCGTGCCCCCAACAAAGATCTTCTTGCCGTTTCTTCAACACATGTGCCCCTACATCATCAGTTCCACAACTTCGTCAATCTCTCTCTCTCTCTCTCAACATGAGGGCCCAGTCAACCACCGATGGAATTTCGAAGTGCAATCTTGGGAAAATACCGAACCTACGGATTTGCTCAATGACGAGCTATATGCAACATCTTAAGGCACAATCTTAAGCAAATACGTATTTTAGGTTATGCCATTGACCTCTTACAAGGTCTGTGCACAAGGTCGTCATGCTCTCGAGTGCCTTCCGTAGGTGTGGTTGTACACTTTTGGGTGACATAAAGCGCTGGACGGGTGAAGCTCAGTCGTAAGATCTTTTTCGAGGCTGAACTGAGAGAGGCTTTTGTGGTGAGAGTAAGCACTCCCCGAGTCGCAGCCACGAGCGCATCTCACTCCAGACTCGGGCTGCAAACTAAGTAGGCCTCGGGTTCTAGAGTCCGGACTCACCTTTCTTTCCCACCTAAGCCCAAGAGCCCAAGAGCCCAAGAGCCAAAAGCTCGAAAATACTCGAGAGGAGAATGTTTCTGCCACCATCTCCATGCGAAATCTCCATCCAACGCAGAGATGCCTTGCCTTCCGAAAGAAGAAAAAAAAGACATCGTCTCGAGCAGAAAAAAGAATCGCTCGTGCACACCTTTCCTGATTCTCGAGGAGAAGATCTCACACGTCGTCCCCTCCCGATTCAAAAACTTCCCCCCTCCCCTCACCTCCCCTCGCCTCGAGGAGAAAGAATCTCCTCCCTCGTTGAAGCATTCTTTCCTCGGCTCCCGCATTGAGTACCAGCAGCAGCATAAGCACCAGCACTAGCACCACTAGCACCAGCAGCATAAGCATAAGCACTAGCACGGGCATAAGCACCAGCATAAGCAGGAGGACGTTGAGAATGATGTCAAGCCGTCGCAAGCGGTTCTCTTGCAGCGCCAGCTTTTCCGGCTGCGCGGGGCTTAAGACTTTTCTGGCCCCGCTGGGCTTCCAGGACCCGTTCTCAGCAGGCAGGCGACCCTTGAGCGCCACGCAGTCTCTGCTTGACTTCGCTTTACTCTTCCTGGGGGCTAAGTCCCACGTGGACCGGCGTACCACCTCTGCACCTCCTAGAGGGGCTAAAGGCGAGAACTGCGTAGAGCTTGCTTTCTAGGTCGAGGGGGCACGCACGGGCCTACGGGGTTCCTTTCTGGTGAAGCCCAGCCCCCGTTCTGAATGTCGCGAGCAAGGGCTCTCCTTTACGACATTTTTCCTACTGGCCGGACAACTCCCCGCAACCCCATTACGACATTCACTTGTTTTGCCTTTAGGTGGCAGATCGAGCAGAAAGGGCTGACGGGGCCATTAAAGTGTCACAATTGATGCATCGTGAGATATAACTCGTTACGAAGTAAATTAATAAATGGGAGTAGCCCTTCCCATAGCACATGGATGACACTAAACGATTTACATTTGACTGATTCCAATGGCGTTACAACGGGGCATATATATACTGTAATTTCATTTCACATAACTCTACGTTGAACATAGCTTTCCAATATGTATCTTAAAATATGTTTATAATATCATGATAATCACAATAAATTATCTTGGAATGGAAATAGATAGTACCTACTAGATAAAATAAGATTTAAAAATAAGTTCAAAGTATGGTCTACCATTAAAGTCATAATTACAAATTAAATTCAAGTCTTTAGGGACCTTGTTGCTCCACTTGACTCCCCATTTCAAGTCAAAATGACCTCCTAGAAATATAAAATAAAAAGTAGTAAGAACCCATCAAACTGGACACACCTTTTGCACAATAAAACCCAAGGCGTGAACAGTTCCAACCTTAAAGGCGGCACTGAAAGAAGATTTTTTAGTGAGATTTTTTTGAAACATGTTGGGTATACCCCATCGAACCGAACAAAATATTTTTGAAATATATACAGTCTAAACTACAGTCATAGCTAACATATATATTTACAATATATGCAACCCCAAACCTCACGAAATTTATAAAAATTTATGCATCGTGAACACTTATGACACGAATGTGAGTACAGCCTTCTACATCCTCTTCATTCAATAAATCGTTATTCCTTGGAAGAAAATAAATTCTTCTTCATCGTCAATTCTTTCTCTGGATGGATTCTGACTTAGCACAACCAGATCTCGGATTCTTACCGTCCTTTCTGCAATTTCCTCAGATTTATAATAGTCTTCGTTCTGAGCACAATGGTCATGACGTGCCTTACTTGGAAATATGCTTTGACATGTAAATATGGTGGTTTCCGAACAGTTCTCGAATCCAATTTTGTGGTCAAGTGACCACAATCCTCCGATACCCAAAAGCTAAAATGCGCCGAAGCTTTGTGTGCAAAGACAAGCGTCGGCATAAATAATTAAGTGGCTCTGTCTGGAATTACAGTTGGCATGTTGGAACCAGTTTACTACGCTCGTGTGAACTAGAAAGTGGTGGCACTGCACTCCGTAGAGGCGTGTCGGAGGGTGAATTAGTGGAAAGGGCTCGTCTGACGTGGGAATGCCATGTCATGCAGACGTAGCTGAAAGTTCCACTATCACCACGTCCTCGTCATCGTCGTCGTCGTGATGGTGACGGAGGAGAGGTGGGGGAGGGACGGAGGGAGGGACTTCTCCGGCGGCACTGTAACGCATGCCGTTCGATGGCCGAGTTGCCTTATAGCGAAGGTCAAAGGGGTGCCACGAATCTCCAAGTTCGGACCGACGGTCATTGGGTAGAAGGTCGAGCACAAGAACATCTCGGCGGAGAGAGAGAATGAGAGAGTTCGATAGAAGAACAACATTCTCGGCCGTCGTACGTTTCGACGTGTTCCGAGTAATGGAGCTGCACAATTCTCGGGCTGATGGGGAGAACTATTCGCCGGTGGGCCTCGACGAAAATATCTCCCGAGATCCAGTTTTGACGGCGTGCAATTTACCCAGTTACACCTCGGGCATTCGAACAAGATTCTCATGGCACCTGCGCAGCCCGTGCACAGCATGCTAGGCCTCTGGCTTCAGTCATGACTTACATTGCTCTACTAGAATTTAAACAAAATTTCACTCATACCGATCAAATTTCCACTTACTAATGGAGCTTCTTCAAATTCAGGTATTTTCTGAAGATAGTAGAAATATCGACATATACTAAGAACATTTATTCCACCTTTCACTAATCCGGAACAAATTGATTATTGTTCCATTTTTGAACCAAATGTCATTCCATACACTTACGTGTGTAGTTGATCACACAACGATTTGGTGGTGAGCCTATAGATTGAAGAGTGCTTGCCAGACTTTATACCAACATTAAGACACTTCTCGAAGATTGCGCTAGAAAATTGACGTGAAGTGGACTCTATCACGGTCAAGACAAACGGATACTATTGGCAAATGGGTTCTCAGTCTTAAATGCTTTGTTAAAGAACAGTTTCTTTACGTGGCAACTTACACTAGATACTGATTTCGGGAGACATGAAATAGATAAGAAAGACTTTGATGTACTTGACATCAAAGACAAGTACAGTACATGTAAAATAATAATCAAAGACATAGAATGCAAGATGGGTTGGTATGAAAAATTAGATGCTAAAGATCAAGAATTACCATAAATTCATTGGAAAATTAAATGTTATTATGTATTTCATGTTCGAAAGAGTATCCACTTACAACGAAAGACACGCAATTCGAGCACACATAGACTTGAAAGTCCAGGGAGGTATCGAAGTGCTAGAATCAGATGATATTTATTTTAAAGTACGTGCTTATCTACCAAATATCATTTGGATGTATGATGGAGTAGGTTGCATTTTATAACTTTAGTCTCACCATATTTTGTTCAGTAAAACAAAAAAATGTAGACTTACCCACGTGGGAGTACAAACTTGAAATACATTAAAATGTCACGTCAATTATATGAAAATCTAATGTTACAAGCTCAATAAAATCCGAAAGCTTGTTGTTGCACATGTGCAGATGACATGATACACTGCACAAGATCAACTTAGATTGAAGCTAGATTGACTTTACGACTTCTGAAAAGTGAGCTCGATACTGCATAATAATAATGTTAAGAGAGATTAGTGATAAATTTTTCAAATGAATTTAGTAATGATACACAAGTATCTATGCCCCCAGCCCCCAAGAACGGCAAGTGTTCCTAGGAAGAAGTATGAAGGCATGTGTGACGTAGAATCAGAAACTAATATCAGTGACGATGACTATTAGTGATCAGAAGTAAGTTATGATCTCCAAGAATCATGTGTAGTTACAAGACAACAATGTGAAAAATCAGTGACTTGATGGTTGCCCTCCGTTTAACTGAGGAAGACTGCCTCAAAAACTGTGAAGATCTTAATTTAAGGATGGGTAGCAAAGCTTAGATCCACCCCTGCATTTGTAGGTCCACATCAAATATTCTTCAAACCTCCATGAAGTCAATAGTGTTTCCTATGGCGCAGTTAGTGCTAGCCGTCAAAATCCCCAAGAACATGCAACCTACTGCAAGCTGGTCCAAAAGGACATCAGAGTCATGCTCAAGTGAAATTATCCGGTACAGCAACTTCCTAACTTGCCTCTTTGCAACTCAAATGATGTCTTCAGTTTTCCAGACGTCCGATCCTTTAGATCCCGTCAGACTGCAGAAAAGATGCGGTACGATATTTTGGATCTTTCGGATCTTGGAGCAAAATCTTCGAGCTTGATGCAGTTCATGGCCATGCAACGAGTAGCAGAGTCCAGACTCCCGAGGGCCGAGCATATGTGACAAAGTGTCAACGCAAACAAAACGAACAGTGCGATGCGCTTCATTGCTGCTGC